AAGAAAAAATAACAAGAAACAGGAGATCATTCATATATATATATATATATACAAATATAGGCACTTCTTGGTTCTTTAGGTGTCTAAGTTGGGTCCAGAGCACGTTTTGACAGGCCTTTGATATCGTCAACTCGACAACAAGTTTTTTGAGATCTTTGTTTCCAATACCGTCATGCCCAACGGTCATGGGTCATGCATCCAATTCCAGTCCATCTTTGACCAAGCTTCTGTTTCTGTGCTGCGTTGATTCGCTCAGGGGCTCGAGGAACTAGGGAATGAGTTTTCTTGGATGCGTTTTGCTCCACCTGAGAAGGTCAACGGCTGAAACTTTGCGGCTTTGAGAGTACAAAAGACTGCCATGGACGCAACCATACGCGATGACAGGAAGAAATGGGTGGATGACTCCGTTCTGGACTTCCTATCCCCCTTTTGATTGCCATACATGTTGAAGTGACGCTGCTCTCCATTTGACTTGACTCACCCATAGGCCTCCAACCTGGGTTGACAAGTCCTGAACATAGTCTCAACGATCCGCAAAGCAGATGCTGTTCATTTCAGGTTTCGATGACTGCGATATCCAGCTCCACCACCTCCTCCACATCCACCAGCAGTACGAGCTCGACCTCCACCAGCAGCAGCTCCACCCGTACCATCACCACTACAAGCACACCGTCACTCGATCACATACCTCTATCATTTGGATCTAAGGGAGATTTCCTGTGCATTTTCTTCAGACGTGTTTGTTACGCAGCTGATGCAAGCTGATGTCCAAAGCCGGTTCACTGCTGCGAGGCACAAATCAACCATTAGACACATTATATCGAAAAAACAAACATTTATATAGCTAAACTAATGGCAATGGAAACTAATAGCGATGGCCTCCAACCTAAGAGCGATGGCCTCCAACCCGATAAACTTCGGTTGGCTTCGTGTATGCTCCTGATGCAAACCAGGCTCCCACTGCTCATCGATCGAGCGGAGTTTTCGCAAGGATTCTCCAGGCCAGCGGGAGCTGTGTCCTTTTTGTCGCAGTCTTCGCTGTGTCCTTTGGGAACAGAACGAGAACACAGACGAGTGGCACAAAGAGAACGCAAGGGGAACAAGAACGCAACTAGTAACAAAGGGCATCGCTACTAACTAGGAGCAAGGACGCTACTAGGGGCTCCTGGCCTTACTACTAGTAACAAGAACGCTACTTAGGAACAAAGGGCCTTGACTATCAGCACTGTGAGGCTCCTCATTACTTTCAATCAGCGAGACACCACTGCCGGGTCTGACCCTGACTGCGCGACAATCTTTACCGCAGATACCATGGCTTTGCAACTTGGCAAGGGCCAGATGGATGAAAGGTAGCTCCAGGTATACAACACGTTGGATCGTCCAGTTTGCTTTATTCTTAGACGGCCATTGCTTAGGAAGCTGCTAGGAGCAAGAAGCTACTAGGGGCTCCTGGCATCGCTACTAGGAGCACTGTTCGCTACTAGGAGCAAAGGGCATCGCTACTAGGAGCAAAGGACACTACTAGGGGCTCCTGGCCTTACTACTAGGAACAAGAAGCTACTAGGAGCAAGGACGCTACTAGTAACACTAAAGCTTGAACAAAAAGACAAACCCACTTTTGGAGATCTCTTGGCCCAAACCTCGACCTCATCATCTCCACGTGTGGGAGGGCCCAAACCGTGACGAGTCTCTTGTTGGTCAAAATTGACGCATTGCATCAGGACGCACTGCAGTAGCTACTAGTTAAGAGTAGCGTCCTTGCTCCTGGTAGTAAGGCCAGGAGTAGCTTCTTGTTACTAGTTAAGTTTCCTTAAAAATCTAGGAACCAAATCATTAGTGCGAGCTATCCTGCGTCCTGTCGGTAGTAGCTTCTTTCCAGCTACTAGCTCCCCCTACCCCCCTCCTAACGGCCTCCCCCCCCCCCCCCCGACGCTTCGAATTTGCCACGGCAGAAGGTCCTCAAGCTATTCATCATATGGAGATGTTGGGGATGTGTCTTTCAGGTTTTTTAGGCCATTGCTATTGGTGTCCATTGCGATTCGTGTGGTTTCCGATCCAGGCTTGGCTCTTCACCCAGCTGCACTTGGAAGGCGACCCATCGGAGCCTGGACGTGGCCTTGGGTCAACAACCCACGGTACAGCCGGGCTCCTTGACGGACAAGCTTCAAAGAGTTCAGGGCGTCTTAAAAGGTCTAAAGGTCTGAAGAAAGACTAACTAAAGGTCCTAAAAGAAGCTACTAGGAACAAGTGCATCGCTACTAGTAACAAGTGCCTTACTAGTAGTAACAAGAAGCTATTCGAATTAAGTTTAATTAGAATTTAATTAGAATAAAGAGTTCAGAGTTCAGAGCATCTTAAAGGTCTAAAGAGGTCTAAAGGTCTGAAGAAAGACTAACTTGTGTTTTGCCCTTTGCTCCGTTCGTAGCGTCCGATCGCTCCGTTCGTAGTAAGGCCAGGAGCCCCGTTCGTAGCGTCCTTTGCTCCGTTCGTAGCGATGCCCTTGGCTCCCAGTAGATGATTGTTTGGTTTCCAACAAAATCTAGGAACCAAATCGTTATTGCCAGCGCTTCAGGGGAGTTTGCTTGAAGAAGGGTGAGCCATCCTGCGTCCAGTAGGTAGTAGCGTCCTAGTAGCTAGGACCGTACAGGTTTGCCCCTTACTTCATTGAGTAGGCCTAAAAAACAGCAACTTCCAGACCCGGGACCCTTGCAGCAACTTGTGGGAGCTTAAAACAAAATGTCTTGACGGACGGAGTAGTTGTGGACCTGGTGACTTTAGTGACTTCGCCCCCAGATTAGAGGCCCAACAGTTTTTATTGTGGACCTTAGAAAGATATGTGAACTCTCGCAGAAGGCTCAGAATTCCGTAACTCTTTGCAGTTGTCATGCTTCCTTCCTTGCTTTTTTCCGTGTTTCTTCTTTGTACCTTTTCCATTTCCTCCTTTCGTTTCTTCCTTTCGCTATTAGGTTAGAGGCCATCGCTAGTGGTTTTCCTTCCTTTCGTTTCTGCCACCTCTCTTCAGCCTTTCGTTTCTGCTCAGGGAGCTTACTGGAGACTTTGCCTGGTGCTTTGGCTCCCGAGCGCTTTGGCAGCCTGACTGCGACCGTCGAAACTGGCGAGGCTGTGGTACAGCCACATGCAGACGCTCGGACGAAAAGAAAGCTTGATAGTGTTACATTCGTAGCTCCTGGTAGCTTCTTGCTCTGTTCGTAGCAATGCCCTTTGCTCCTAGTAGCGAACATTGCTCCTAGACATACTAAAAAAGCTTCTTGTTACTCCAGGCGAAGGGATTCCCAGTGAAACGATTCCCAAAGACTAAAACATAAAAAGCATCAAATCAAAAAGAAGGCATTCATGTAGGTCCTCACTAAAGTGTGCTCTGTAGAATAAAGCGCATTGTTCCTTCACTCGGACCCCTCTTTGAAAAGCCATATGCTCTTTTCCATGGTCCTTTCAATATTGTGAACATCATTTTCAAATCTCACATAGAGCTTAGCTATAAAAGGCTTGACGTTTATTCAGTCAATCCGGTCCTTTTTTTTGCATACGTTTTTTCAATTTGATCGAACTGTTCTTTTGATGTAAAGGATTAACTCACGTGTGGACCATGGCCCGCCCAACTTTTTGTTTGGACCACTCACATGTGAGGTTGTGCAGGCGTCTCCCTTGATTCTTCAAGCTTGTGGCCGTGTCCTGGTCTCTTGGACGAAGAAATCAGACATAGAGCAAAACCATGCTTGCCCATAGCAATATATCAGAAGGGCTTTTGAAACCATGTATATCTAAATCTTTTCCCGAATGCGTAGCGAAGGGTTCTCGTTTAACTCTGGGGGTCTGGCGTTAGATCCTTGTTCGCGATCCGTTGTTTCTACGTCCGCAACCGTCCGCAAGTGGCCGCAACCGTTGGCAGTAGAGCGCTAAGGCGCTGCCATTGGGGAAAGCTTTTGCAAGTGACTTTTCATGGATGTGTCACGTGTCAGTTTGCGCCGCAAGTACATTGTGAATTGCTTGAAAATGACATGTTGCGCAAGCAACGTGATGCATTTCGCTGCACAAGCGCAGGTGTTTGTGAGATCCGCAGTCTGCTGCGCAGTTCCATTGGGCTTAGCGTCAGGAGAGGCGTGTTTTTGGGGTGTTGGATGTGGCCGTGCCATTGGGATTTGCGTTTCAGGGTGTGGCATCGAAGCTCTGTTTTCGTGACAAGTCTCAGGTGAAATGGCGATTTTTGTGGATGGGAGTGTGCTCAGCATGGGTCGAAATCATTCCAAACGTGTGGTGTGGTGCACATTTTGTTGAAGCTCACATGAGATGATATTGCCACTTTTCGTGGCAGGCACAGCACTTTGTGAACCTCCATGTGCAGATTTCGTGGCCGGCGCAGCACTTTGTGAACCTCCTTTATCCCACAAGAGTGTCCTACAAGAGTGTCTTTTGGGCATATGGAACGTGTTTGCATTCGGGTTCGTGGGTTCCATCTTGTTTTGACTCTGAACTTTTTGGTCTTAACAGAATTGCTTTATTGTATATAGCAAAACTAATAGCAATGGAAACAAATAGCGGCCTCCAACCTCATAGGAACGGCCTCCAACCTAAGAGCGACGGCCTTCAACCTAAATGCGGCATCCGACCCAATAGGAATGAACTCCAACCTTATAGGAATGGCTTCCGACCTCCAACCTAATACATGACATCACAAAGCTAGATAAACCACTTTGATTCTCCAACGCTACTGCCGCTTTTACCCTTTACACAAAGAAAAAAGGAAAGAAAAAAGGCACGTCCAAGAGTCTAAAGGAAGGAAGGAAGGGAGGGAGGGAGGAAAGGGCTGTTTAGTAGTAGTTTCTTGTTACTAATAGCTACTTGTTCCTAGTAGTACGGCCAGGAGCCCCTAGTAGCGTCCTTGCTCCTAGTAGCGATGCCAGGAGCAGCCCCTAGTTGCATTTTTGTTCTTGTACTTTCCATTCTACAATGAACAAGAAGGTTTCTACGTCTTGGATGCTAGTACTTTTTACTACGAGCAAGAATGCTTTTGAACACTAGGTGGATCCCGGTATAAAAAGAAAGCGCTGCGTCTTTCTTAAGATCTTTCTTATCATTTTTTAGACCAGACCTATCTTTAAACTTCAAGTTAGTCATTTTATGTGAACCCCTAGTATGTAACAGCATTCATTACATGTCTATCTATTTAGTTACGGTTCACACCGGACATGTAAACACATGTTCCGTCCGTGACTTACTTTGGCTCAAGGAAAATTGTGCGCCCGCGCAGTTTTTTCCTTCAGGGTGCCGTGTGGGCTACACTGTGTGTGGCCGCACCTTTCGCTTTGCTTTCGCACCTGCCGTCCTTCGTCCGTTCGTTCGCACGCTGCCACACGTCGTCCGTTCGGCAACCCTCATTGTCCACCACGGGTTCTCGTCCTTCCGACTCGCCCCGAGTGGTCATTAACATAGATCGTGCATCCAGGGATTTGGCATACCTGTTGAAAGAATTGCTTGGGCGTTCCCATACGTCCAACCTGGATTGTACACTCAATTGGTTATCAGCCGTAGCCGTGAGCTACAGGCAACAACACTCGACCCCGCCGAGTGGTCCATTGCGGCACGCTTTTCGTACCTCCATATAGACCACCAATCGGCCGAGTCAATCCCCAGCCGCAAGCAACCGGCGCCGCAGCATCATCGGCTGCAGCATCAGCCACGGCGCCTGCTGGGGACCCTCAGGATCAAGAGGCACCTGCCTCCCCTGAGGGAGTGGTCGGAACCGCGCCTAGCGCGGAGACCACGGACCAAGAGTTCGGGGAGGCATCCATGCCAGAGCCACCCCTTACTCCCCGTGTCGCCTCAGGCATTTCGTCCTCCCAGCCTACATTCACGCCTCCAGGTTCAGAAACCGCAGGGGCGGAAGGGTTCGACGACCTTCAACAAGAAGAGCCTGTCGCAGAGCCGACCGCTATCGATTTGCCACCTGAAGCCAGCACCCTTGGTGCTCTTAACGACGAAACCCCTCTCATCGAAGCAGAGCTCCAGACCGGAACCGCTGCTTCGCGCGGAGAGGTCTCGTGTGCTCAGGAGGATTCGTTAGGCCCCACAACGCCGAGGAACCGCCCTTCGATGCCTTTTCTTTGTTAGGCCCACCTAAGATAGAGCCCACCACTAAGGAAGAAGTGGAGGAGGAAGTATACGCCGATCCCTCAACCTCTCCCGTGGGCCTACCGCCACTGCACACTCACCATCATCCTACGCAGTTCGATTCACTGGCCACTGACCCGGTCTTTGATGAAGCGGAGGTTGATTTTGGTGGCGAGGAACCTGACGTCGACCTTGACGATCAGGCGGAACCCACTGCCAAGGAAGAGGAGCAGGAGGTGGACGTGGGAGACGAAGAGACCGCGCCTAGCGCGGAGGCATCACAAGCTGCTTCAGCGGCCGTTGATCCTCAACCCAAGCGCACGCGCGGAGCGAGAGGAGGCCAGAAGCACCAATTCGAGCAATCGGATTAAAAGTATGCGATCACATGTGACCTCATTGCGAGTCACTTAGCATCACATACCTACCGTCGAGTCGGCAAAACTTACCACTTGCCGTTCGTGAAACCGCTGTTAGCGCGGAAAGATTATTCTGAATGGTACAAATACGTCGTCTATCATGCCGACGCATGGGCTGAGTCCCCCGACGAAGGTGACATCTCCGACGGGGCTCTCAAGGCTTGGGCAGCGATCATTCCAGAATTCTGGTCTTGGTGCACCCGTAATATGCCTGAGATATCGAATGGTGTTAAGCAACCCACCTATCGATTCCCGCCCGGGTACTATCAGAAAACCTATAAGTTCATCCCACTCCGCCAGGTCCGTTCCTCAGCAGCGGCGTCATCGCAGGCGGCGCCGCCAGCGCAACAAGCCTTTCCGGTCACGGTTCCGGCGCGCGCTTTCCAGCCCGTTGTGGGCGCAAGCGCTGCCAGTTCGTCAGGAGGCTGGAGGCCGCAGCTGAGGCCTGTTGAACATCCTGTGCAACCCCGATCCCAGACTCCACAAGGCAATCCGAGATCTAGGTCCCAAACCCGGACTTCAGAATCGGTTCGACCTCCTCGTCCAACCAGGCCGTGTCCGAGGCCTGCACGTGAAACCGCTGAGTCACTCGCGGAGGAAATCCCCCACCCCCAGCGGCTAAGCCTCAGGCTACTGCCCCATGGCGGAGGGCACCAACTCACGCCATCGAAGCTGAGGAGGCCCCAGAAGCCCCGGCTCCAAAGCCGCGTGCCCGGGTGAACCCTCCTCCGCCGAAACGCACTCGTGTCGTGTTCGCATCAACCTCACGAGTCGTGTTGAGGCCAGAGCCGTCGTTCGCGGAGCACACAAGGGGTACCGTCCCTATGGTCGCCCGAAGAGTAGTAGCCGAGTACGACTCCGGTGAACCTCCGGCCCAGTCTCCATCAAGAACTTCGGTAACTGTGACACCACTAGTGGACCCAACTCATCGTACCCCTAATCGTAATTGGGCAGATCAATCGCTCGATGACGACCCGGACGATGAGCCAGCGGATTCTGGGGCAGCCCCGTCCGGATCCTCCAGATCCAGGACGCCGCCGCCAAAACCCATGGTGGTTAAACCTCCACCTCAGTGCATCCGGGAAGAATCCCTTTTGTCCAGTTTGCCAGATCTCGAAGTCAACTTCTAAGAGAGTCTCACGCAAACCTGATGTCAAAGATGACGACTTCATAGACCCACCAAAAGGTCCATATGAACAGTTGTCTACCGACGACGTCATAATGGCAAAAGGAGAGGACTTCGCCGGCAAAGGTGTAGGTGGGGTCAAAGCATTTCATGTAGTCCGAGACACCTACTCGGGTGCTAGAATAGCATACCCCATGAGTAAGCGTGATGCCAGTACCCACTCCAAGAACTTTCGTAATTTCCTAGGCTTAAAGGCTAACGAGGTAGCCACTCGCGTCCTTGTTAAGATGGACGAGGCTGGGGAGTTGGAACAGGCTGCGCATGAAGTAGGGTTGATTCCGGAAACGTCCTTGCCAAACAGATGGCCTCATAACGCCATGATGGAAAGAGACATCCGTGAAGAAAAGGAGTGCTGCAGAGCAATCCACTTACAATCTGGGTTGCCATATTCCTTTCACACCCACTCATATCCCTTTGCATGTCTTTCCATGAGTTTTGACAGACCGTCAGCTTTGGAACCAACAAAGACACAATGGGAGGCGCTCACTCGCAAGCCCTTTGACGGCATGAGACATTCATTTGGTCAACTGATGTACTACCGTGACAAGCGGGTATCTAAACGCACCCTAGAGCCTAACATGTCCCCATGTTTGTTCTTAGGTTGGCGAATAGATGCGGGTTTTCGGTATCGCTATGTGGTTCGTGTTCTCGACTACATGGACTACAAAGTTAGTGAACGCGTCAATGTCCAAGAAGTCCCCGAAGCTGAGATTTATGTTGAAGATGGTCCTCCATGTTTTCCAATGGCCTCTGTTAAGTTAGCGCACCTGAAAGGGGGTTCTTTAGGAGTCCTCGACGATCTTGCACGTCTTGACACGCCGGATATCCCCATGAAGGAAATCCCTTTTGGATTGGAGGGAGCCGATGCCGTCCCACCAACTCCCATGGACCCTAAAACCAGGGGGGTGTATATCACTTTGGATCGCATCATTCGGTTTAGCGAAACCCCAGGGTGCAAAGCGTGCGAGAAGAAAACACGATATCACACGCCTGCGTGTAGGAAACGTTTTGCCAAACTGGTTGACGAGGCGAGACGCGACCTTCTTGCCAAAAGGAAGGAAGGCATCACCGTGGAGGAACTTCCACCGCGGGAGCCCGAGACCGCACCTCCGACGGATTCATCCGAAGATGTCACCGAGGATGAGTCACACATCATCGATGCGACTCCGACTGTGATATCGGGGCTGTCGCTCTCGCCACATACCACATACAGCACACAACTCATCCACACTCGCCCTGAGAGTGGAGTCCCGGTGTTTGGCATGCCATCAACAGCCCAACCAGCTCAAGTTTCTAAGTCTAAGAAGAAGAAGAAGAAACCGCGCAAGACGCGGCCTGGCCGCTGCATGTTCGAATTTGCATGTGCCTCGGATTCGCAAATGCACGAAACCTTTCTGGAGATGGGAATCCCCCACATTGCCCTTTCGAAAGAGCACCTCGACCTAGACGATCCCCAAATGCAAGCACAGTTGCATCACCATATAAGCACCTGTGATGAGATTCCTGATTTATGGGCCTCAATCCCTTGCGCATCAGGGTCTCCTTGGCAAAGGGTAAATCGCATGAAAGGGGGGCTTAAGTTCATAAAAAGGCATGCGCTCCAGGTTAAGGAGTCTAAACGTTTATTTGCCGAATTCGCTAAGTCTGCAGAGCTCACTTTAGCTCGAGAAGGCACTGTCACTTTCGAGTGGCCTAAAGGGTGTGAAAGTTGGCAACGCACAGACGTAAAACATTTCTTTGATAGCCACCCCGAATTTATTCCAGTCGAATTTGACGGGTGCGCTGTTGGTGTATAATCCACTAAAGGCCGACCCATTAAAAAGAGGTGGCGCCTGATGACCACCAGCAGGGCTATCGTGGACATGTTCTCGCAGTTCCAATGCACCCATAAACCCCACGAACATGACCAAGCGGTCGGGTCGCAGACAGCTCGTACTGCATTTTACTGACTGTCCAAATTGCTAAGGCCCTATACCCTAGCATGTCATTTTCCCATAATGCCCCAGCCATGCCATGTTTTTCATGTACCCATGAACATGAGCGCCGGGACAAAGAGCAGACGCTGAAACACGTGTCAGCCTTGTCGGGAATCGACGCTATGGCCATCGCAGTTGAGACAGATGACACCGTCGGCCAGATGGTTGAATGTTTAATGGATATCAGTGCTCTCATGCACGAAGCCTACCAGATCCCAAAGACCGAGGATGGTAAAGATCAGGTAGCAGCTATGGTCACCAAGCTCCTTAGCCGTACCGAGATGCTCAGCGATCCTGAAGCCTTGCAAAAGGTTAAGGACGAGGCAGCCGATTTGGTCAACGAAGGTACTTGGGAGTATGAATCCGTTCGGGAGAAGGAGCACGTCCGTGCTGAAGCCAAGGCTTCCGGTGTCTCCGTCCATTTCGGCAAATTGATGACCATAGCATCCATTAAATTTTACGAGCTGGCGAAGGAGTTGCAGAAAAAGAAAGGTAGAATTGTCTACCGAGGTGACTGCGCAAAGGACGAACATGGCGCAGCAGCCGTCTATGAAGAATTAGGCGCAAATCCGACTTCGGTCCAAGGGCTGAACGCTTGCCTCGCGTACGGGTCACTACCTGGTAACCTGTGCACCGCCGCGGATGCGGTGAAAGCGTATGTTCAAGCAACACTAAAACCCAAGTATAAAACTTGGATCGAACTACCACCTGAACTTCGACCCGCATGGTGGAAGAACAAATTTGTTCAACCAGTGGTCCTTCTTGTTAAAGCACTGTATGGACATCCCGACGCAGGAGGGATGTGGGAACAGCATTTAAAAGGCATTCTTAAGAAAATGGGTGGCGAAGAAATCCCAGAGTTCCCCGGTAACTTCTGGTTTTCTGGTCCTCGTTTAATGTTATCTACGTACGTTGACGACCTCACTTTGGCAGGCCCACGGGAACACCACCAAAAGTTTTGGTCAGAACTTACGAATGTTGTTAACGTTGAACCACCCGAGCCTATTTACAGAATGCTAGGAAGGAACCACATCTACGCGGTAGTCCCCGAAACCGCTGCTTTGCGCGGTAGTGCTGACGCCCTAATCTTCGACATGAAAGATTACGCGCAGCAAACCATCGACCTCTACAAGTCGGTGGCCGGTGTTGATAAGATAAAGTCAGCCCAGACGCCATTTCTCGCAGACGGCACATTCACCACGGCTGATGAGGAGTCGCCCGGAGAGCTCGCACCAAAAGCATGCTCTATCCTGATGAAAGCCCTCTGGCTTGCCAGGTTAGCACGACCCGACATCCTTAAACCGATCAACGATCTAGCCACTAAAGTACAGAAGTGGACCCGTGTGCACGACAAAAAGTTGTTGCGACTAATCCAGTACATCCAACACTCACTAGAGTATAGACTAACCGCCGTCTGCGGCGATGATCCTAGTGAGCTGTGGCTAGAGCTGTTCGTGGATGCCGACTTTGGTGGCGACCAACATGACGTGAAATCCACCTCCGGTGGGTACTTAGTACTCAAGGGCCCTAACACCCATTATCCACTCGCATGGGTGTCTAAGCGCCAGACCTCCACGTCAAGGTCCACTACAGAATCGGAAGTGGTAAGTTTGGCCTATTCGTTGTATCAAGAGGGTCTCCCTTCGTTGCAACTATGGGATAAACTCCTTGGACGGGCCGTTAACCTCGTCATACAAGAAGACAATCAAGCCACGATTCTGGTAGTAAGGAAGGGCTTTTCCCCCAAGCTACGACACATCAGCCGAACACATAAGATAAACCTCAGTTCTTTAAAAGAATGCATCGACGACCCATCTGTCGAGATTAAGTACATCGATACGAATGAGCAAGCCGCTGACATTTTCACCAAAGCGTTGCCACCACAAAAGTGGTTCAAAGCGCTCTGCTTGCTTGGCATCCGTACAGATTTAAAATGCTTAGTCCCATCTAAGACAGATAGGAGCCTTCCAAGCAGTTCGAAGCCTTCGTAGGTCGTCGAAACCGCTGCCACCCGGCGCGGTAATTCATGCATGTACAAAGGAATGCTGCCCCAAAACGGGGAGGGGGGAGTCATTTTATGTGAACCCCTAGTATGTAACAGCACTCATTACATGTCTATCTATTTAGTTACGGTTCACACCGGACATGTAAACACATGTTCCGTCCGTGACTTACTTTGGCTCAAGGAAAATTGTGCGCCCGCGCAGTTTTTTCCTTCAGGGTGCCGTGTGGGCTACACTGTGTGTAGCCGCACCTTTCGCTTTGCTTTCGCACCTGCCGTCCTTCGTCCGTTCGTTCGCACGCTGCCACACGTCGTCCGTTCAGCAACCCTCATTGTCCACCACGGGTTCTCGTCCTTCCGACTCGCCCCGAGTGGTCATTAACATAGACCGTGCATCCAGGGATTTGGCATACTTCTTTTATCACTTACCTGTTGAAAGAATTGCTTGGGCGTTCCCATACGTCCCACCTGGGTTGTACACTCAATTAAGTTCCATCAAAACCTAGGAACCAAACGAACCGTGCGTGAGCAATCCTGCGTCCAGCTCTTCTTCTTCGGACGCGTTTGCTTCTTTAGAAGCTATTAGTAGCTGGGAGCAAGAAGCTACTAGGAGCCCTTGGCAGTACTACTAGCAACAAGAACGCTACTAGTAACAAAGGGCATTTCTACTAGGAGCAAGGACGCTACTAGGGGCTCCTGGCCGTACTACTAGGAACAAGTGGCTATTAGTAACAAGAAGCTATTACTAAACAGCACTAGTTTGTTTCTTTCGGTCTTTCGGATCGTGGAAGGTCTCTGCCGTGGCCTCCACCGGCTCTGCCGGTCGTGGCTTCACGGTCGTCTGGTCGTTGGGGCCACAGAGCACCGTTCCCTTGGCTCAGCAGCTGCAGGTGCGAAACGTTGAGTCGTTGAGTCGTTCACGAAACGTGCTGGAGGTAGCGGACGAGGTAGCTAGGAGAGGTGGTTTAAATAGAAGCTTCTTGTTACTACTAGTAAGGCACTTGTTACTAGTAGCGATGCACTTGTTACTAGAAGCTTCTTGTAGCTAGTCAGTGGTTCAAATAGCTACATGCTATTACAGGACGCGCCGCCTGTCGGGAAGTTTCCTTGAAACGCTAGATTTTTAGGGAAGCTTAACTAATAGCATTTTGGGATGGCCTGTAGCATTTTGGTGCTGGGTGAGTCGTTGGAGGTTGATTCTGGCGTGGTTGGTTTGTCCAACCGTTTTGCTGCCTTAGATCTTGCGCAAACGTCCGGCCTTGCCGCAACTCGAAGTCGTCTTGGAGCTTGTGGCCTAGGGCTTCCAGCACTTTCGTCTATAGAGTCTCAAAAGACCAGGACGATTCAAGTTTCGACATGAATTGAACACGGAAGAAGCGTCGATTGCACACTTTACTTCTTAACGCTTTTGTTCATTGGATTTCTGCCAACTTCATTTCTGCCCACTTCCAGGCAACAGTCAGCGCTGCCACCGAGTGACTTGGAATGACCGGGAGCAAGTTTCCCTATGGATCCCGGAACCACGTGAATAGTGCGTGAGCTTTCCTGCCTCCACACGTAGTAGCTACCTATTGCCAGTAGCTTACCTCCTTTACTTGGCTACTTGTTAGCCTACTCTCACAGCCTACCCCCACACACCTAAAAGAGAGTTCTTTTTGCTCCATTGACGTTTGGGCAGCGGAGTTTCTTCGGTTTCGGTTGCATCTTCTCAATTCAACCAAATTCCTTCAAGTTGGAAGAGCAATCGTGATGATTGCTTTATTGTTTCAAGCGTCGGCACATTGTAGATGTAGTTCGAAAGTGACGGCCAAGACCTAAGTGTCTTGTTCTTGTTGCAGGAAAAGATGAAGGTCAAAGCAAAACAGTGAACAAAGTCTAAAGACACAGTGGACAAACAAAGAACACAAGATCTGAAGATCTAAGCACCAAAATGGAAAATCAACCAAAACATGGTTTGCAGAAAAACCAGTCAAAATACATGGTTCTGCCTTTTATTGGTCTTCAGTAAGGGTGATCTCTCAAGCTGCAAAGAAGGTGTTCTAAGCAGACTGGTGCATTCTCATGTTCTCGAAGAAGCATGAACTGCGACCGACCGAACAACCGAAGAAACAGATTTGACAATGTGCAAGATTTGAACTGCAAGGCTTTCGTTTGAAATCCCGACTTTGGAGTTCTTTGCCGCAGTGGAGACGACCAAAGCCACGATGGGAAGCAGCTTTTACTCTACAGACATCAAGCTTGAGTTCGTGGTTGAGATCACCAATTGGTTGGGTGTGTCGGACCAGGCGGGTTCTGTGTGGGTTGCTACGTGCGGTCTTCACATGCGCAAGAATCTGTGGTAATGCCAATCCATTTTGGAACCACATCACTAGCGAGCGCAGGGCGGGGGGAGCTTCCTTGAAGAAGCGTGAACTAGCCTGCGTCCTGTTCCTAGGAGATCTAGTAGGAGCGGGCTTCAAAAATGGTAGTAAGGCACTTGCTTCTAGTAGCGTCCTTGTTACTACTAGTAAGGCACCTGTTACTACTAGCGTGGCACTTGTTACTAGGTTAGGAGCCTAGCTTCTTGTTTCTAATAGCTTCTTGTTACTACTAGTAAGGCACTTGTTACTAGAAGCGATGCACTTGTTACTACTAGCTTCAAAACTGGGTTCAGGAAAATCAAGTCGTTTTTGAGTGGCGAAAAAAGGGTCAGGTGCCTCCGGTGCCTCCACTCCCCTCCTTGCCGTCGCCACTTGAGGCCTCGGCAGTGGTGCAGCTGGAGAAGTCGGACGTGCCGATTTTGATCGTGAACCCGACATCTCCATTTCATCGACAGATCTTCAACAGCTTCTCGACAGAGCTTCGTTTCAAGTTTTTTTCATTGTGTCTTCTTGTGTTTAGAAGAACATCTCCGGTGGAGCGGCTCAGTATGTATTAAATGGCAGAGTTTGGACACATACTGTCTTTCGATGTGACTAGAGACTAGAGAGGAGCATTGCTCCAGAGCACGTCCACCGGTTTTTTCTCGGCGAGCACTCTCCGAGCGAGCACTCTCCGCAGGTGAGGAAGTCAAGTTCTCTGTGGAGACAAGACATGCAGCCCGTCCCAGTTCAGCTGGATTACTGCTCGATTCATCCTATATAGATTGATGTAGATGTTTGACTTTCTTCATAAAGAGTAGGTGTCTTAAATGTAAATCTATTGTCTTGGCAGTCAACAATTCGAGATCCAACGAAGCTGCTTGCTCACCAGACCAAAGGCATGTTTCGTGGTCAGCTCTCGCCTGAGGCTGACACCTCCTGCGGCACTCAGACTGCGGTCGAAACTCAAAACATTGTGGTGAATTGGGAATATCGAGATGAATCAGGATTAGGGGGTTGATTGAAACGCATCTTACGGAAAGAAACACACCCATTCTTTTCCGCAAGAGGGTGGATATGTAAATAGGAGATGCTACTAGCAACAAGAAGCTACTAGTAACAAAGAGCATCGCCACTATTGGCTGATGCAATGCTACTCATTTCGTGCTGGCGTGGAAAGATAGCTTTGTTGATATCCTCCACCTAGTAGCTTCTTGCTCCTAGTAGCAAAGGCCTCCAGCTCACACGCCTAATAGCCATGGCCTCCAGCCTATGAGTACTCAAATGTATTGGATTCACCATGCGCAAGCAGGTAACCACCGCAAAACACAAACACGCAAAAACTTATGGCGGTTTCGACCACTAAAACTTACTCGGATAAACCCCGCATCACTCAAAGTTCACATTGCCTTTAAACACATTTTGTGATTTGCTTGTCGATTTTGTTGAAGGTATACCATTTCTTGTATGAACTTGTGTGCACTTCTTGTCATCATGAGTTGCAGGAGCCTGGATGGATTTTGCCAATTCCGCACTGATGCTTGGAGTCGAAACGGATGAGTGTAAGGGATGTTACAGGTGTGCGCAGCACGGCAGTAGCACCTTCACGTAGCACGGCAGTAACCACACCCTAGCCTTCACATACCAGAAATGATGACGGAGTGATAAATACTCATAGGTTTCTTCGCGGAAGCGAGACACTTGTGACCTTTTTATTTGTATGAAGAAACCGTCAAGTTGCTCGTCCAATCTTCTGAATACGTGGATGGCCTTTTTACCTTCGAAACCCAGTCTGACGCTTAAAAGCGATCCCATGCAAGCCCTGTGGCCCTAGCACTTTCTCGCATGCTTTCCAAAGGGGCCGGCAAATATCCCAAAGACCAACAGGAAAAAGGAATGAAAGAATAAAGGGAGAAGGGAAGAAACCAAAGGCAAAAGAAACATAAAGACCATTATAATACCATTTTAATAGCCATGGTCTGCAACCTACTAGCGATGGCCTCCAACCTACTAGTGATGGCCTCAAACCTACTAGCGATGGCCTCCAACCTAGTAGCGATGGCCTCCAACCTGAAAACGATGGCCTGCAACCCAAAAGCGATGGCCTCCAACCTAAAAGCCATGGCCTCCAACCTAAAAGCGATGGCCTCCAACCTAAAAGCGATGGCCTCCAACCTAAAAGCGATGGCCTTCAACCTAAAAGCGATGGCCTTCAACCCAAAAGCCATGGCCTCCAACCTAAAAGCGATGGCCTTCAACCTAAAAGCGATGGCCTTCAACCTAAAAGCGATGGCCTTCAACCCAAAAGCGATGGCCTCCAACCTAAAAGCGATGGCCTCCAACCTAAAAGCGATGCCCTCCAACCTAAAAGCGATGGCCTCCAACCTAAAAGGGATTGCCTCCAACCTACTAGCGATGGCCTCCAACCTAAGAGCGATGGCCTCCAACCTAAAAGCGAAGGCCTCCAACCCGATGGCCTTCAACCTAAAAGCGATGGCCTCCAACCAACTAGCGATATGGCCAACAACCTACTAGCGATGGCCTCCAACCTAATTGCCATGGCCTCCAACTTACCAGCGATGGCCTCCAACCTACTAGAGATGGCCTCCATTCTTTTAGCGATGGCTTCTAACCTACAAGCGATGGCCTCCAACTTACCAGCGATGGCCTCCAACCTACTAGAGATGGCCTCCATTCTTTTAGCGATGGCTTCTAACCTACAAGCGATGGCCTCCAACCTCCTAGCGATGGCCTCCGACCTACTAGCGATGGCTTCCGACCTACTAGCGATGGCCTTCAACCTACTAGCGATGGGCTCCAACCTACCAGCGATGGCCTCCAACCAAAGAGCGATGGCCTCTAGCCTACTAGCCCTAGCCTCCAACCAACTAGCGATATACTAGCGATGGCCTCCATTCTTTTTTAGCGATGGCCTCCAAGCTAATAGCGATGGCCTCCATTCTTTTAGTGATGGCCTCCAACCTACTAGCGATGGCCTCCAACCTAGCCTATTGACCTTCAACCCGCGATGGCCTCCAACCTAATAGCGATGGCCTGCAACCTACTAGCGATGGCCTTCATTCTTTTAGCGATGGCCTCCAACCTAAAAGCCATAGCCTCCAACCTAAAAGGGATGGCCTCCAACCTAAAAGCGATTGCCTCCAACCTAAAAGCGATTGCCTCCAACCTACTAGCGATGGCCTCCAACCTATTGACCTTCAACCCGCGATGCCTCCAACCTAAGACCGATGGCCTTCAACCTAAAAGCGATGGCCTCCAACCCGATGGCCTTCCACCTTAAAGCGATGGCCTCCAACCTAATAGCGAAGGCCTCCGACCTAAAAGCGATGGCCTCCAACCTAAAAGTGATGGCCTCCAACCTAAAAGCAATGGCCTCCAACCTAATAGCGATGGCGTTCAACCTAAAAGCGATGGCCTTCAACCTAAAAGCGATGGCCTTCAACCTAAAGGTGATGGCCTTCAACCTAAAAGCGACGGCCTCCAACCCAAAAGCGATGGCCTCCAACCTTAAAGCGATGGCCTTCAACCTTAAAGCGATGGCCTCCAACCTGATAGCGATGGCCTCCAACCTGATAGCGATGGCCTTCAGCCGATGGCCTCCAACCTAATGGCCGTCAACCTAAAAGCCATGGCCTCCAACCTAAAAGCGATGGCCTCCAACCTAAAAACGATGGCCTTCAACCTAAAAGCGATAGCCTCCAACCTAAAAGCGATGGCCTCCAACCTCAAAGCGATGGCCTTCAACCTGAAAGCAATGGCCTTCAACCTAAAAGCGATGGCCTTCAATCTAAAAGCGATGGCCTTCAACCTAAAAGCGATCGCCTTTAACCTAAAGGTGATGGCCTTCAACCTAAAAGCGATGGCCTCCAACCTAAAAGCGGCCTCCAACCTGAAAGCGATGGCCTCCAACCTAAAAGCGATGGCCTCCAACCTAAAAGCGATGGCCGTCAACCTAAAACCTATGGCCTCCAACCTAAAAGGGATGGCCTCCAACCTAAAAGCGATGGCCTTCAACCTAAAGGCGATGGCCTCCAAACTAAGAGCAATGGCCTCCAACCTAAAAGCGATGGCCTTCAACCTAAAAGCGATGGCCTCCAACCTAAAAGCGATTGCCTCCAACCTAATAGCGATGGCCTCCAACGTAAGAGCGAAGGCCTCCAACCTAGCCTCCAACCTAAAAGCGATGGCCTCCAACCTAAAAGCGATAGCCTCCAACCAAAAATAGCGATGGCCTCCAACGTAAAAGCGATGGACCCCAACCTGAAAGCGAAGGCCTCCAACCTAAAAGATGGCCTCCAACCTAATAGCGATGGCCTCCAGCGTATTAGCGATGGCCGCGATGGCCTCCAACGTAATAGCAATGGCCTCCAACGTAAGAGCGATGGCCGCGATGGCCTCCAACGTAAGAGCGATGGCCTCCAACGTAAGAGCGATGGCCTCCAACCTAGTAGCGATGGCCTCCAACGTAATAGTGATGGCCTCCAACGTAAAAGCGATGGCCTCCAACCTAATAGCGAAGGCCTCCGACCTAAAAGCGATGGCCTCCAACGTAAAAGCGATGGCCTTCAACCTAAAAGCGATGGCCTCCAACCTAATAGCGATGGCCTCCAACCTAAAAGCGATGGCCTCCAACGTAAAAGCGAAGGCCTCCAACCTGAAAGCGAAGGCCTCCAACAACCTAAAAAGCGATGGCCTCCAACCTAAAAGCGAAGGCCTCCAACTTAAAAGCGAAGGCCTCCAACCTAAAAGCGACTGCCTCCAACCTTAAAGCGATGGCCTCCAACCCAAAAGCGAAGGCCTCCAACCTTAAAGCGATGGCCTCCAACCTAATAGCGATGGCCTCCAACGTAATAGCGAAGGCCTCCAACCTAATAGCGATGGCCTCCAACCTAAAAGCGATGGCCTCCAACCTAATAGCGATGGCCTCCAACAACCTAAAAGCGATGGCCTCCAACGTAAAAGCGAAGGCCTCCAACCGAAAAGCGAAGGCCTCCAACAACCTAAAAAGCGATGGCCTCCAACGTAAAAGCGAAGGCCTCCAACCCAAAAGCGATGGCCTTCAACCTAAAAGCGATGGCCTCCAACGTAAAAGCGAAGGCCTCCAACCCAAAAGGGATGGCCTTCAACCTAAAAGCGATGGCCTCCAACGTAAAAGCGAAGGCCTCCAACCCAAAAGCGAAGGCCTCCAACCTAAAAGCGATGGCCTCCAACGTAAAAGCGATGGCCTCCAACCTAAAAGCGATGATCTCCAACCTAAAAGCGATGGCCTCCAACGTAAAAGCGATGGCCTCCAACGTAAAAGCGATGGCCTCCAACCTATTTAATAGCGATGGCCTCCAACGTAAAAGCGATGGCCTCCAACCTAAAAGCGATGGCCTCCAACCCAAAAGCGAAGGCCTCCAACCTAAAAGCGTGGCCTCCAACGTAAAAGCGATGGCCTCCAACGTAAAAGCGATGGCCTCCAACCTAAAA